AAATTATGTTTAAATTATAAACATTTCTTAGCGGTTTGTGCCCTATTATATACATTTTTATCCGTTTGCATCCCATTATATACATTTCTCGCCCCATCATATACATTTATTATCTGTTTGTGCCCTATTATATACATTTCTTATCTGTTTGTGTCCCAATATACATTTCATATCTGTGCCCCATCTGGTTGTTTAATTAACTCATTCTGCACCAGTTGTTAATTTAACTTTTCTGTATCATGGTGGTATTATTTAAATTCCATCTGACCCAAAATCTGTTTGTTAAAGTAACAACTTCTTATGAAATAACAAGTTAAAGTAATATCTGTCTGGGACTCAAAGAGTTAAAGAAGGCCCTTCCCAATATTGATGGATATAAACACACATTTTTGTTTATATAGGCAACAACACACATCTGATGATTTAATAGTAGGGACAGCAAATAGAAATCAGTATATATTTATCAAAGAATTAAATCAAATACTCTTTGAATAAAAGGAGTTTGCATTATGTGATGTTATAAACTGATTGATAAACAAAAATAATAAATAACTTCATGTCTTGTCAATGTAAATAACAATACCAAGGCTCACATTTTATGAGTATAACATAAAAATCACAATAATAAAGAAGCTCTTGTTTTTGTTCCAACAACACTGATATTAAAAGACACCTGCCAAAGGGTCATTTTTGTCTGTGTCAGTCATACAAACAGCAAAAACGAGGCTAAAGTTTTATCAGTATTAGTGACGTAAATATCAACACTTGGAATGTGATCATGAAAGCACGCGTATTCTAGTCATGCCATTACACGAGTTAAATAAAGAACAGCTGATGATGCTGTTATCGGACACCCCAGGCTTTTGTCTGCACACTGAAGTAGTTAAGAAACTATATATCCCAAAAAATGCCAAAAGCCATGTCGACTCTAAGGTAGCTACTGGCAAGGTTAAGAAACTATGGATGCCAAAAGTCATGTCGACTCTAGGGTAGCTAATGGCAAGGTTAAGAAACTATGGATGCCAAAAGTCATGTCGACTCTAAGGTAGCTACTGGCAAGGTTAAGAAACTATGGATCCCAAAAAATGCTAAAAGCCATGTCAATTCTAGAGTGGCTACTGACAAGGTCTCACTGGTTGTGAAAACAGGGGTGACTGCAGTCAAGCCAATACCAGGAAAATTAATATAGTGAATGGTGACTCAACAGCTTAACCAAATATGGAAGCAGAACAATGTACACAAATTGATGTTTTGGCCGGGGCCTTTCTCAACATGAACACACACAAAAAAACAGTAACAAAGGGGAGAGAATTCAGACTCAGTTCACTGGATTAATTTCTCACAGGTCGACAAGCAGGGGCCATTCCTAGAGAGGCACAATAACGTTTGCAGGTAGCCAAGAAACAGTCCAAGGCTAGAGAAAGCACATCCTGTCCTTATCACCCCTATTTATCACTTGTTAGTTGGCATCCGTGGCTTAGCCGTTGCAAAAACATTTAATAATACGGGGGTGCCAGGTTCAAACCTAGCTGCAGGCGATTTGGCAGCAGACCGTCTTGTGTTGGTTTTGACAGTGGTTTTGAGAGCTGACCATTCAGACAGCAATGGCAAACTACAAATATAAAATGTGCCTAGAAAAACTACAACAGCCAAAAATAGCTGGGGTTGGTTCTGCAACGTCCTGTAAAAGATATGCAACTAACTGAGGCTGATGTCGGACAAGTGTCTTGAGCCTGAGGGTTTAAAGGCTGCGTGGCTTGTGCAGATTGTAATTTTTTATTTTCCATAACCTTACAAAGCATCGGAACCCAGGTCTCCCAAACAAAAACCTGGTGTTCTGAGTACTGGGCCATCCGCTCCTCAACCTAAATAAAGTAAAGGACCTTTTTCAACGCTTTTCAGGCCTATTTGGTATATAGGGCTAGACCTATATTTTATAGACCAACGGCACAAGATGAGATGTGGTCATCAGCATCACGCCGGCCGCCTTTACTTTCCAGGACTGCACCTCATACCCACTCAAGGCTGGGTCGACCTGGCAGCCAATGTCATTTTTGAAAAACGTCCGGCTCTGCCAGGGAGCAAACCAGCGACCTTCTGATCCACAGGCGAGCACCCTAAAAATGTCCGTCAAAATTAGTTGTGGTGTATACACATTTTTTTTTTTTAAGTAGGAGCTGTGTTAAAATCAATTAACTAGAAACTGAAAAGAAACTAAAAGAGAATAACAATGCCCCTGTCCAAGTAAAATACACAATTATACACCCTCCCACAAAAGAAAGAATATAGCAGACGTCTACTCTGATATATGCAGATGTGATATTTCCCCAGTGCTACAGATTGTAATTAGTGCTGAGATTCTCCTTGCATGATGTGTAGGTAAGAGGAGACTTTAGCTCTTATATTAGTATCTGTGATATATCAAAGCAGGCATCAGAGCTTATGTGTGAGGAGAGGGTATCCATGATATACAAGAGAGTATGGCACTAGAAAAGTATCTGTGATATAACAAAGCAGGCATCAGAGCTTATGTGTGAGGAGAGGGTATCCATGATATACAAGAGAGTGTGGCACTTAGAAAAGTATCTGTGATATATCAAAGCAGGCATCAAAGCTTATGTGTGAGGAGAGGGTATCCATGATATACAAGAGAGTATGGCACTAGAAAAGTATCTTTGATATATCAAAGCAGGCATAAGAGCTTATGTGTGAGCAGAGGGTATCCATGATATACAAGAGAGTGTGGCACTAGAAAAGTATCTGTGATATATCAAAGCAGGCATCAGAGCTTATCTGTGAGGAGAGGGTATCCATGATATACAAGAGAGTATGGCACTAGAAAAGTGTCTGTGATATAACAAAGCAGGCATCAGAGCTTATGTGTGAGGAGAGGGTATCCATGATATACAAGAGAGTATGGCACTTAGAAAAGTATCTGTGATATAACAAAGCAGGCATCAGAGCTTATCTGTGAGGAGAGGGTATCCATGATATACAAGAGAGTATGGCACTAGAAAAGTATCTGTGATATAACAAAGCAGGCATCAGAGCTTATGTGTGAGGAGAGGGTATCCATGATATACAAGAGAGTATGGCACTAGAAAAGTATCTGTGATATATCAAAGCAGGCATCAGAGCTTATGTGTGAGAGAGGGTATCCATGATATACAAGAGAGTATGGCACTAGAGAAGTATCTGTGATATATCAAAGCAGACGTCAGAGCTTATGTGTGAGGAGAGGGTATCCATGATATACAAGAGAGTATGGCACTAGAAAAGTATCTGATATATCAAAGCAGGTATCAGAGCTTATGTGTGAGGAGAGGGTATCCATGATATACAAGAGAGTATGGCACTAGAAAAGTATCTGATATATCAAAGCAGGTATCAGAGCTTATGTGTGAGGAGAGGGTATCCATGATATACAAGAGAGTATGGCACTTAGAAAAGTATCTTTGATATATAAAAGATAAGACTGGAAAGTGTCCATCATTTATAAGAATATAGCAGTTATGGGTGTATCTATCATAAGTAACAGGAGCTCATAGCACTTGTGATGGTACATGTGATAGATAGGAGTTATAGCACCTACGAGGGTATATGTGATAAGTAAGCAGTTTATAGCACTTTTGGAGGCATCTGTGATATGTGAGACTATGGCATTTATTGAAGTATCCATGTTATTTATGGCGTACCTCCCCAACATAAACTGTAATTATTGTTTCTTTGCCTGCCTCTCTGCCACAGGAACTGGTATATTTATATTCATATTTGAGAAAATCATAAACAAATTACATACTGATCATAATTATTTGTTTTATATCTTATCCTCCTATGTGGGTTCCTGGGCTCTGTTTATGTAGGGGGGGGGGGGGGGTCGACCACATAGCCCTTGACAAGCATGTCATAAAAGCAACTCAAAGATTTACGGAAATTGGATGATTGGTCGAAAGGTGCTGAAAATGCAGCCTAGCCGTAAACCCCAAAACAATGTGACAAGTGCCTTTTTTAAGGGATAGTGCAGAAGAGAAAGAAGAAATCTTATCTGCCAAATACCACACTATCAACCATTTATTGTAATCATAACTTACCATCCATATTTGTGCTCTTATTAATCTAAGAAGTAAAACTAGGCGTAATGAATATACAAATATAATTAAAAATTAAACAGAAGTAAACATTCTGTAACTAGGTAGCACTGTTTGTTCATTGTGTTCTTTAACTCCTTAAATTGTACAAAGATTCTGTATGTTCATAAAGTCACTGAGCAGTTTTGAACTTAATAAATTTAGTTGTATAAATGTAACAAAGAGCATAATAAACATTTAGCATTAATCCTAATAGCTGGTAAGTCACCAACAGTTGAACTTGGTGCTCATCTCTTTGCCAAGAAGTAATTGCATGTGACAGGACCAGAACAATAGTAGCAGTTCAACAAAGATAAAAAAGAAAAAATGGAACTGAATTCCCCCCAGATGATGCAACCCAATACCCTGCCCACCTGACAAAGAACATTCCATCTAAGATTAACCTTGTGTCACCTGCGTATCCATAAATCCCATTCTGCAACCAGTGGATACAAGGAATGGTCATCACTTAAGATGGATGAACCATGATACAATACAATTAACAAAATTTTTAATCTAATTATTGAATTCTTTAAAGAACATCCTTCACGTGAAGGAAAGTAAACTATCTTCTTTCTGCTTTAACTATGGGAGATAAACAACTAGGACAGACCAGATAAATTAAAGAAAGGCAGATAGAACTAGAACAAACTGGCTGAGGTGTCAAGGAATAAACACCAAAAACAACTGTAAAGTACTGTGATCACCACATGGTGTTTTATTTAGTAGGAAAGATTAACAATTGATAAATTCAGCTTTGCTAGAACAATAATATTTTCCCAGTCTAATTTAACATTTCTACCATCAAATTTATAATACTTTCAAACCACTGAACAACTTACATACTGTACCCTGTAAACGCAGTTCTAAGACTTACACAAATCGAATGGCAAACCTCGCTTTAAAATCAGCATCCTCTGCAATGTAAGGATACCAGTAAATATAGTTTGTATTCCAAATGTTATTGTAAAGATTGAATGACATTGTTGTAATTGTGGAACACTCAAACGGCTGTAGAGGAACTGGAAACGGTGAATCCACATGGCTGGTTGTGCCAATGTTAACAACTGGAACATCTGTAGTGAGAATTTGGAGGCCTTTTCCAGCTTCATTGAGAAGACTGACACCTTTTTCTACTCCTGAAAGAGCAAACATTGTCAGAGGATTGTTAACATGTTACCGATGTGTAACTGATATTAATCTTCTTCTTCATCTTCTTGCCATTCACTAGCTGTAAACTCTGGCAGAAAGTTCTATTTTTTCATCCACTCCTGCACTTTGGTCGATTCAAACCTTAAATTTGGCAGGCACATCCATTTTACAGATCTGACTTATTTGTATGCAGACTATTGGTTCCTTGCTTCCTCCTGGGCAGATGCACTTTAACAAAGAAGGAAACACCATAATTAGTAGCCTCCTAGGACATGCTTGTTAGAGGCACAGTGGGTCTATTCTTGATCTTCAATATGGAGCTACAGAACCCGCAGGAGGAAATGCTAATCAATTAAGTGGTTAAGCTGTCTGTCTCATCCTGTAGAGGTAATGGATTTGTTTCACAGACTGCATTATTTGGTTCACGAGAGAATTGAAATAGAGATCCTGGGGATCACTGCTGGATCTGTGCTACTGACATCTGACACTCTCGGCAGGTGGCCTGCCATGTGACACTCTCAGCAGGTGGCCTGGCATGTAACGCTCTCGGCAGGTGGCCTGCCATGTGACACTCTTGGCAGGTGGCCTGCCATGTGACACTCTTGGCAGGTGGCCTGCCATGTGACACACTTGGCAGGTGGCCTGCCATGTGACACTCTCAGCAGGTGGCCTGCCATGTGACACTCTCGGCAGGTGGCCTGATGTGACACACTCGGCAGGTGGCCTGGCATGTGACACTCTCTGCAGGTGGCCTGCCATGTGACACTCTCAGCAGGTTGCCGGCCATGTGACACACTTGGCAGGTGGCCTGCCATGTGACACTCTGGGCAGGTGGCCTGCCATGTGACACTCTCGGCAGGTGGCCTGCCATGTGACACTCTCAGCAGGTGACCTGCCATGTGACACTCTCGGCTGAGAATTTGCACCTTCCCTGCACTGAACTTTTGAGGTATGTTATGAGTCTTTAGTTTTTGTTTGTCAACTCCAAAACAGGGGTTCCTTCCAGCCATGGTATTCTGGTCAGGACAGGGTGGAGCTGGCAATTTTTAGGGCACCTTTTCCAACCTCTTTCTGCATGCAAAGACTGGACTCGACATAATGTCCAAAACCCAGCTCAATTAAATTGATTCCCTCGGCTTTAAAGTTATATCAGGTCCGGTAAGAAATTCCTACTCAAATAATGTCACTGATATGCCAAGTCATGCTATCTTTTGCCATCTCTGGCAACCCTATGCTTTCCTCATATTCATCACTATCAGCAGGACAAGGACCTTGCCAACTGGCATGGGCAATCATGCCTCTCCACAACCTGCAATTTCAACAGCATCTGTCAATTCATGTGCCAACGTACCTCTATACTACGATAAAGACTGTCAAAAATCTTCTATATCTCTTTCTGTAAATCTTTCCAGTTTTCACATGTTTCATTTTTGTTCCATTAAACATTTTAACTGTTTCTCTCTTATGTTTGTAATATTTTGTCTTTGGGTCTGCCTATTTCAAAACACCTGGATGACTCACATAGACAATTGTAAGCATTCTTACATAAAACCATATCTCTGAGGCCATATTTATAAAGCCCAGTGTTGTAGTTTCCCGTATTCGTCTAGTGCTTTCTGAGTGGCTTGAGTGACAGATTGTTTTATCTTTTTTTTTTTTTTTCAATTACTGTTGTTGCCGGATCCAACTACACCACTGATCCACATTTCTGCTCAAGTCGTCTTCTTGCCCACAGATTTTCTGCTATGGAAAGTGTCTGGTCTGGTTGCATTCACCCTAGATGGTCAAACTTCTGTTACTTCTTCTTTGAGTTCACCAGCGTAAACTCTGATGGAAAGTTCTGGTTGTTCGTTAACTTCTGGACTTCTGTCCTGTTCCAGAACCTGAGTGTTGCATGTGCATCCGTTTGACAGATCTGAAAAAAAAATCATTTGTGTGCAGAGTATTGGTTCCTTGCCTCTCAGGCAGATGCATTCCGACTTCGAAGGAAGCTCCCAATTAGCCGACTCTTACAACATGCTTTTGGGTAGGCAGTGGGTCTATTCTTGTTTCCCTATAATAGGGCCCCAGAACCCAGACGGGAGAGGGGGGGGGGAGGATGGTCAAACTATTCCATGCTTTATTCTGTAAGAGTCAAGACATCAAACATTCACAACAAATACACAGTCAAACACAAGTACTGACCATGAACATACTGGCTACCATTCAGCACAACATCACAAGGGTCGATACTCTGGTTCATTTTGCTGATAGACCAGGCAGAGTTGTACAAGTTTAGTGGTGAAAAGTTGAATGAGATGGACTCAGGTAACCTTGTTGTGACCTTGCCCATCATAAGCAAAGTAATATCCAGCCCTGAATGTAAATTTAAAAACATGTAGTATCAGTAGATAAGATACGAAACTATCACAGAATGGAAAAAGAAGATGAATAGACAATAATACAACTGACAAAAGAAAATTAAATAAACATGTAACCAAGTCACATATAGTAGGGGAACCATGTAAACGATTATTGTATTGCAAAAGAAGATGAGACAAAGAAGATGAGAAATATTGACATCTTAAAAGATCTGAACATCAAGGAAGATTGGCTAATAAACAGCATCCTTTCTCGAAAGCTGAAATATTTTGGTCATATCAAGCGCCACGACGGATTGGAAAAAATTATAGCAGAAGGCATGGTACCAGGAAGGAGGGGCAGAGGCCGACCGACACGAAGATGGGCACAGGATATAAGTGACTCCTTGAGTGTGAAAGTTCATGAGGCGGGAGAACTGGCAAGAGACCGAGTTTCTTACAGGCAGACTGTGATGAAAGCGACGTTCTGCAAAGGACCTGCTACATGAAGATGAATACAAAAGATTACGTTTGTAGTTCCCATCTGTTCGACTAATTAATATACAATTAAAATTGTCCGCTCTTTGTAGACCTTTTAATTTTCAAAATGTTTCTTTCTGTTTTTCAACTGTCAATTTTAACATTAATAATAAGCATATAAGTCCAATAATAAGCACATAAGTGCTTTTATTTTGTTTTGTTCTTATTCAATAAGACTATACTGGCTGAGGGCTCCAATCAGGGACAAAGGGCAGAAAAAAAATTCACAAACTAACAAAACAAAAATTGCATTTTTACAGGTACAGGCAGGGTGATATTTAAGGCAGTAAAAATGCCAGGACTATGTCCAAAATATAACTAGTACTAATGAAATACTAATATTTGTACTGCTTGTATCATTATGAGCCCTGCATACGACTGGCATTTAAATAGTTTGACTTTTGTGATGCTGAAGTTCATCTCAGAGAAGAGGGGGTGCAAACTAAATGATGGCACAGGGGCATCATACATCCTCTATATGGCCCCGAGTACACACTTATGGGGGTGTCCCGAGTGCTGTGATGTCAATTCTTAATTCAACATTCTAACCCACAATGATCTATCTGGTCATGTGATGAGAAGGGAGGTATTGGAAAACATCTTGATGACTGGAAATATTGATGTTAAAAGAGGGAGAAGCAGACCATACAGAGGGCTGCCAATGGTGGGTTTTTACCCCCAGATCTGTTTTTTTTTTAATGTCTTGGGTTTAGATTTTTAAATCTTGGGTTTTAACAAAAATATATCCTTATATAAAAATGGGTAAATGTTTTGTTTCGTAACTTTACAATTTGTACTTTTTATCAATCTGGGGTTTTTCATTTCTGTTTTTTTTTTCTTTGCGTTTGTATTGCTGGTTTTGTGTGTGTGTGTGTGTGTGTGTGTGTGTGTGTGTGTGTGTGTGTGTGTGTGTGTGTGTGTGTGTGTGTGGCCAGCTTAGCTTTGGATTTGATAAAAAATCTCATTGGCAGCCCTGACTATACAAACTAAAATCATCCCCACCCAGGGTCAGACATGGTCACTCACAACAAATCAGAAAGAATATTAGTTACCCTGGATATGAGATGTCAGAGAAAGGCTGCAGACTACAAGAGATCAAAATAAGAATTAAGTCCTAAGATTAAATGTCTGCAAAGAACCAACATTCAACTACATACAAAGACAGCAAATCAAATGGTTTTCCCACTTAGACAGAAGGCATTGTGACACCATATCCTACAAGGTATTCACCTAAAAAGGAGAAGACATGGAACATTAAGTAGACCAAGAACAATATGGAACGAAAACACAATGTGTCCATGGTCAAGACGACAAGATGAGCAAGAACTAAAACCTTATTTCTTCCTTGACATCCAAAGCAGTAAAAGAATAAGTGAAGAAGACAAAACAAAGAGAGTTGTGGTTAGATTCATGCCTGCAGGCCCAAAAGTCTTGGATTCAAATCTGCACTGTGAATTGTTCAAAGTGACCCCGACTCCCTGCTTGACCCCACCCCAAAATGGGTATCATGAAATGTCCTGGGAAGTAAAGGTAGTCAACAGGGTGTTGACCACATCCCCCCTCCAGTGCCGATGAGTCTACAAAAATATGTGTCTAACACCATGTGACTAATGCGTCCCTGCCATGAAAATGCTCCCTTACTTGACTACACAACAAATCATCCATGTCTAACCTGGATTACTGACGTCGGATACATATCTCACGTAGAATACCTCCGGAGCACCATACTTTTTCTCTCCCTTACTTGACTACAAAACAAATCATCCATGTCTAACCTGGATTACTGACGTCGGATACATATCTCACGTAGAATACCTCCGGAGCACCATACTTTGTTCTTGTCTGGTTGTCTGATGTAGTTGCTTTTACCCAGAAGTCACAGCTTGTGCTGTTTACTTGATCAAATCAAAACAAACAAACAAAATATACAAGTGGCAAAAGACAAGTTTGAAAGGAACTTCTATGGTCGCCTATAAAAGTGGTTGGCACATTGTTTTGTGGTTTACAGCTAGGCTGTGATTTCTGCACCTTTCGGCCCAATGCATTTAATTTCAGCAAAACCCTTATTGGTCGCCTTTTCCAACATGCTTGTTACAGGTCAATGGGTCTATTCTTTTTTCACCTATAATGGGGAACCAGACCCTAAACTGCGGACCCTAAAAAGGATAAATATAGCAATGTTTATACAGTATGTCTGTAGCTTAGGCATTGTCAACGCGCTTTGTAATGCCAGGGTGTCAGGTTCGATACTAGCTACAGACGATTTGTCTTGTGTTGGTTTCGACAGTGGTACCAAAAGCTAACCGTCCCGGAAACAATGGCAAACTAGTGAACGTAAAATTTGCCTAGAAAAACAACAAAAGCCAGACAAAAATGCTGGGGTTGGTTCTGTAATGTCCTGTAAAGGATAATGCAACTGACTGACTTATACAGTATATACTTCTTGTTATGGTCTATGCCATGTGGAGCCGGTAATCATTTCTGCTACAGATGCGTTCTCCATGCCAGTACCCAAGCTCTCCAACATCTTCTCTCTTGGTCTTCCTCTGCCTAACTTCCCCTCCTACTCTCTCTTTTTCACAATGTATCCAGTTTTCCTCTTCTCTTGAAAAACGTGGATTGTACCTTACTGATGTGGGTATTCTCTTCTTCACAAACTACAGCTTTCGATTTTTATGTTATCTAGTGGGGCTTTATATCTTTTCATGAGCAGTAGATGTTTTTCTGTGTATTGTATATACTGTATATTCAGCATGAAACTGCAGTAGCACAGTAGCTATCATGCTTGCTAGCTGATATGGAGGTTAGGTGTTTGAATCCCTGCAGAGGCAGAGATTTTTATCAAAGACCTGGGCTTCTAGACTGATCCAGTATAAAACGGGTATTAGCAAGTTCCCAGTGAAGTAAAAAAAAAAAGTAAAACATCACCTGTAAAGTGCTATAAATACATGGAGATAGCATTGTAATACCCAGTAGCATGTGTAAGAACGGTAGGAAACTTCATTTCTACAAACATGCATGCTAGGATTTAGCCAGGCCAAAATACAGCATATCACTTATGGATCTCTGAGTCAGGGCCTAGTCTGGTAACATTTCCACCACTGGTTTTATTTCATGGATTTTTTTTACAAACTCCAACCCAATGACCAGGCACAAGGTATCTCAAGATCAAGGAAATTAGGGTTCAAAGTTTTCACATTTAAAGGACAGTTTTTCCCAAAAGTATAATTTTTTAGGGGCCGACCTTTATTTGTTTTTGTTTTTGTTTTATTAGGATTTATGCCTTCCCTCCAAGAACTATCTTTATAATGATTTAACTCTCTCAGTCCAAGGGAGTTTAGCAACACAGGCCCAAGGGGTAATAAAGAAAGATGTAAAATCGGTACATCTTGCGTTCACTGGTCTTCTATTAACATATGAAGTGTTCTTTGGGACTGAACAAGTTAAGGGTACCTCAGATTTCTCTGGTAAAGACAGTTCTCTTTGGTAATGAAATTTGACTATACACTTTATAATGAACAGACCTAGTTATTTGTCAAGCTTTATTAATCGTCACCAATTAACAGTATCTGTTATAAGATTATCTTTCTAAATACTTGGCCTCAGGTTCACTGGCACGATTTTAGGCTACAGTTTATATTTTTTCTTTTAAACTTGCTAGACAGCTACCATAAATCATGTAATATACCTTGTGAATACAAGCTGAGGGCAGTTATCTCCCATCTTCTCTTTTCTGGATGTGCATACTGGGTGACATTAGGCTTGTCATAACCAACCCCAGCCACGTAGTTGTACAGCTTGGCCATGTCTATGAAATCCTGTTCCACGTATGTATCATACCTCAGCTGGCCGAGAGGAGATGATGCATTTGCCCATTCACGCTTAGAAAAAGAGGATAATTCATAAGAGCTAAAGCATCAAGGAAGCTTATAGCATATTACACACACACTAAAACTATATAACTCTTCACAAATTGTCTTCTCTTGCCACTTATCACCCATTTGAGAAGACTTTAGGCCAAAATGGCCAACAGCTAGTTGACCGCTGATGCTCTGAAAGTTATCTGTTACCAGATAGGTTTTGCTGATGTCAATTACACATTTCTGGGCCCAGGAGTCCAAAGATTTCATTGCGCATCTGCGGAGTTGAGTGCTTGTTGCCACACTGTGAGTTGTGGATTTCATGTCGAATGTTGTTTCTTTTTTTGTTGACTGCACTAAAATGGTGGGTAGCCACTTACTTTCAGTATGGTGTGTACTTTTGCAGGTGCAATGCTGGCTTTCTTGACTGACCATTTGCCCCATTAGTCAGCTGCAATTCTGGTAGGTGACTGTTAGTGTTGGCACATCTGACAGCTGCCCTACACACTGTTACTTGCATGTACAAGTTTCAAGATTCTGCTGGAACTGACAAGTTTTCAAATGAGACAGTGAAGGACATTTTGTGTGAAATCCACTGGCACAGGAACAATTTTGTGCATGATTCACCTTCTTGAACTTTCATTTCTTCTATGTGGGTGGCAATTCTGGACAATGAGTAAGGAAATGGTGAAGAAATTGGAAGAAGTGGAGATGTATTTTTTTTGGTAATTATGAGAGGACACAAACTCTAAGGCCGGGTTATTCAAGAGTGACCCACGGTTCCCTAATAGGGTCTGCAGAGGCCTAAGACGTGAACTGTGGATCATTGCTCATTGTATTATATTATTGACTGTTCTACGCTGAGGCCTCTGGCCTGCGATGCTTCCCCATTTGCAACATCCCCCCTCCTCCCAATCAAATTAATAACCCTGCTCTAAGGCCCTGAGAGCCGCACGTTAAGATCAGCCATCAAAATAATTAAAAATGAAATAATGTGATGCTAATTGAAGGGGTGAAACAGAGAAATTTTCTTATAATATACACATAATAAAATGGAGCCAGATTTCTTTAGCATGCTCTGGTCAAATTTAAGCAATACAGTAATATATCATAATATGTACAATATATAATAACAACACCCATCGCCAAATTTATTGAGAAACAAAGAATGAAATGGTTTGGCCATCTAATGAGAATGAAACTAACGATGCCAGCAGCTAAAGTGTACAACCTGAAAATCAAAACATCAAGAGGCAGGGAGAGACCGAGAATAATATGGATTAAAGGAGTCACTGACACCTTGAGACTGCATAACACCATGGCATATCAGGCAACTGAGCGCACCCTGGCTCGGCTGCCGATCGTCTGATGAACAGCATCGCCTAGCGGCAAAAGGAGTTATTGACAAAAGAGAAGAGAAAATACCATATCATGCATTTACTAATACACTGATTGATTTTTGACTGGCAACTTTCTGTCCTTCCAGACGATAGTGTTATGTTAGGCTTTGGGGAGGCTTGTGAAACACAGTCTATGGATGGCGAGTGTGATGATCAAGACCCGCCTGCAGGTTTCATAGCAGACAGCCAGGGCAGTCTAATAAAGACCATGTGTTGTCTATGTATCATCATTTCTTTCTCTCTGCCTGCTTTGTTTACTTCAAAGGAATGGTAACACCAATTTACTTAGTATAAAGCATGCTGCAGATCAGCATCTAAGATGATTATTTACCCTCTGATAGATCCTTGTTAAAGAGTTTCAAGTGCATTCATTCCAATTACGGAGCCTTGATATCATCCCTTATTTGTCTAGAATCTCATTAATCCATTCACATTCATCACTAATTAGATGATGAGGCACTGGGATGGAAAGAGTTAATGCTTGCAGATCACTGAGAGAAATATTGCTTTACACATCACATTTCTTGAAGGAATCATTGTGCGTGCCTGTAGCCTTTATTGGTATGCTACATTCATGTTCAGTTCTAAAAGTCGTCCTCATGTGGGATGCAATTTTTTGTTATTTAAAGCTACACCCTGGCTTTTGCCGGGAGCCCTGAATTTAGCCGGGTCATAAATATGGCCTAACGGCTGAAAGGGGTTTCTGGTACCTTTCAATGGATGATCCTCATCCGCATGGTGGCACTTTGTGTCACTGGGTGTTTATCGCTTGTGTGATGTCCTGGTGGGGTAAAAAGTCAGTCAGTCAGTCAGTCATGTTCGGTTTATTCCAGACTGCATACCTTATTAACTGGATCGTACAGTCTACTGAGAGACCCGTTGCTGTTGAACTGGACAATCACACCACTAGGGCACACATAGTTCACACCCACTGAGGCTTGAGCATAATCTGATAGATAAACAGTGAAATCACGAGACAGAACATAATGAGACACAATTACATCACGAGACAGAACATAATGAGACACAATTACATCATGAGACAGAACATTATGAGACACAATTACATCATGAGACAGAACATAATGAGACACAATTACATCATGAGACAGAACATAATGAGACACAATTACATCATGAGACAGAACATAATGAGACACAATTACATCATGAGACAGAACATAATGAGACACAATTACATCATGAGATGGAACATAAGCTAACAAATGGTGAAATCACCAGCTAGAACATAATGTAACAGTCTTCTTCTTTTTCTTCTTCTTCTTCTTCTTCTTCTTCTTCTTCTTCTTCTTCTTCTTCTTCTTCTCCTTCTTCTTCTTCTTTTTCTTCTTCTTCTTTTTCTTCTTCTTCTTCTTCTTCTTCTTCTTCTTCTTCTTCTTCTTTTTCTTCTTCTTCTTTTTCTTCTTCTTCTTCTTCTTCTTCTTCTTCTTTTTCTTCTTCTTCTTCTTCTTCTTCTTCTTCTCCTTCTTCTTCTTCTTCTTCTTCTTCTTCTTCTTCTTCTTCTTCTTCTCCTTCTTCTTTTTCTTCTTCTTCTTCTTCTTTTTCTTCTTCTTCTTCTTCTTCTTCTTCTTCTTCTTCTTCTTCTTCTCCTTCTCCTTCTTCTTCTTCTTCTTCTCCTTCTCCTTCTTCTTCTTCTTCTTCTTCTTCTTCTTCTTCTTCTTCTCCTTCTTCTTCTTCTTCTTCTTCTTCTTCTTCTTCTTCTCCTTCTCCTTCTTCTTCTTCTTCTTCTTCTTCTTCTTCTTCTTCTTCTTCTTCTTCTTCTTCTTCTTCTTCTTCTCCTTCTTCTTCTTCTTCTTCTTCTTCTTCTTCTTCTTCTTCTTCTTCTTCTTTTTCTTCTTCTCTTCCACTATTTACCTCAGCGAGGTGTTGGGGAGAGATGGAATGCATTGTACAAGCTGGTGTTCATTTCTAATAGACTGCTCTTGATGATGTTGCTCCAGCTCTTGTGTGGTCTTCCTCTTGCTCTGTGTTCATTATATTTCTTCAGCGTGGCTCTCTGTGACAGCTGCGACAAAAGAAAATCACGGTACTGCACTAAATATTCAATCAACTGGTGCCATCTGCACAACCAAAGTTGGCTGCAATGATCTCCAACACATTCTGCCCCTTTTCCTAGTTTTATAATTTCTCAGACTGTTATTTGTCCATCTCTTGCTGTTGTCCTAACACTTGTATCAGTGACTACCTCTTGTTTGCCTCGATTAAATTGCGTCATCGAGTAAGGTTTTATAAGTCTTTTGCTTGTCTCAGTTGGCATCTGTGGCCTAGGCGTTGCAAAATGTGCTTTGTAATGCTGGGGTGCCATGTTCGTTCCCAGCTGCAGTCGATTTGTCTTGCACTGGTTTCGATGGTGGTACCGAGCGCTGACCGTTCAGAGGCAAAGGCAAACTACTGAATGTAAAATTTGCCTAGAAAAACAACAACAGCCAAAAAATGCTGCGGCTGATTCTTCAACGTATTATAACGGATGCAAACCTAATTTTTTTTTTTTTTTAGCTTGTCTCTTATTTTTGTTTTTTTTCTATTGTCAATATAAAACTGCTGTTTTGGATTGTTTCTGTTCACATAAATTCTGCTGCATATTCACATCTCCTTGGTTCAAACAGACTCTCTAAATGCACGTTTATTATTTGGATTTCTTCATCACACACTATGCTGAGGTAGCTTCTCACATGCATAGTGTGTGTTCACCAGGCAATTTTGCATTCAGTAGTTTGCCATTGCTTTCTGATAAGCCAGCTGCCAAATCACCCACAGCTGGGATCAAACCTGGTACCCTAGAATTATGAAGTGCATCTGCAAACGCCTAGGCCACAGACATTGACTGTGAGTATATATAAAAAGAAATGATGTCCTTACCACTGAGATCAGGCACGCTGGCTTGCAAGTCCTTGTATTCATCCTGAACCATCCTACTCAAAGGGTGGTCTTTCAGGGCATTCAAAGCAAAGTCCAAGAACTGTCGCTGTTCTTTCCAAGTGTTCTCAGTTGACTTGTATGTCTCCGCTGCATAATAACATAGGGAACAGGTTTTCAAATGCATCTAAGACAAATTATCTTCTGGACAGGAGAGCCCAAGCTAAAGCTGCATTTCATAAGATAAAAAGTATCTCACGCATGATAAGTCACGTCACAGAATATCAGGAAGAGAATGATGAAATGTTTTGTGCGGCAGCAAAACTTGGAACGAGAATGAACAAACTAAGAATGAGTTGGAGGAAGCAGAAATGTGGTTTCTGGGGTTAAGGTTGAATAACAACAGCCAAGTAGAAAACAACCTGACTGCTAATGAAAGCTGAACATTATATGTAGCGATTAGAAAGAGACACAAATGATGATGAGAAGAGCAGTGTTGGAACATATTGTGACAACTAGAAGATCAATTATAATGAAGAAGAGGTAGACAGACAGAGATGATGAGGGCTGGTCTAGGATGGAAGCATAGAGGAAATTTGTGACAACTGGGAAGATCAATGGTACATGAAGCGAATGTGGACCAAGAGAGATGATGAGGTCTGGTCTAAGATGGCAGTGTGGGGGAATATTGTGACAACTTGGAAGATAAATGGTTGATGAAGCAGAGGCAGACTAAGAGAGAAGATGAGGGAAAGTCAAAGTTTGCAGCATGGAAGAATACTGTGAATTGAAATGATCCAGTAACGAAGTACAGAGATCTGTGGAAAGACATGAATGCCTACACTGTACGGTAAGTCACATGGTGATGATGATAATATTGTGTACAATTTGTCAGGGTTATCTGTGAGGTATAAGATTGCTCTTTCATTACAGAGGCTGATATTAATGTAATATATGTATCTTGTTTAACACGATCTACATATGAGTTGGCAATGTTATGGTGCTTCCTTATTTGTTTTGTCCAGTTTGTTGTTGTTGTTGTTGCTATCTCAAGAAGATGCATGCTGGGACATGTCATTAACATTAAAATTTCAATAATAAAAACAGTTTCTTGAGAAGAAGAAAGTACTGACATTCAAAAGAATTAATACTGAAATGGTACAATGAAGCCATCAAACATAAATCCTGCCAAAAATGTGCCATATTTCAGAAATAAAGACAATCAACAAAACTGATGAGAAGTCTTTATAGACGATCAGGTAATGTTATATAAAAAGAAAACAAGAAACAAGACTGATTCACACACACACACAAAGTATCCTAGAAGAACAAAAAATTGTTTAAAGAATTCCAAAGACTAAGTTGTTATGGCTGGGATACAACTTACGGTCTGACTGTCTAGTTAAGTATATTTCACCTTCAACTTATGGCCTCACTGTATAGTTAAGTATATTTCACCTTCAACTTACGGCCTCACTGTATAGTTAAGTATATTTCACCTTATCAACATTAAAACTGATAACTCTGTAGTTTTATTAGACTTACACTGCCTAGCAATAGCTAGTTCCTGATTGGTCCAGTTACCGTTGTCAAGGAAATTATGAGCTCCCCATGTGTGTTCTGGCAATTTGATCAGGAACCGTAGCATGTCTTGAATTCTTTGATCTGTATCGTCACACACACCTGTACATAAACCAGGTGAACAATGTAGTATGTAACACACAACATTTCAGTCTGTAGGTAGGTCTATTTGTCTTTCTCTGTCTAGGGCACACATAGTTCACACACCCACTGAGGCTCAAGCATAACCTGATAGATGAGCAGTGAAATCACGAGACAAAACATAATCTTCTTCTTCTTCGCGTTCACCAGCTGTACACTCTGGTGGAAAGTTCTGGTTGCTCGTCCACTACTGAACTGCAGTCCTGCTCCAGAACCTGAGTGTTGCGTGTGCATCAGTTTTACATATCTCATTCTCTTGAATACAGACTGTTGGTTCCTTGTCTCTCCGGCAGATGCACTCCGACTTCAAAGGAAGCTCCCCAATTAGTCGACTCTTACGACATGCTTTTGGGGAGGCAGTGGGTCTATTCTTGTTCTCCCCACAATGGGGCCCCGGAACCCACACGGGGGACAAAACATAATGAGATACAATTACATCATAAGCTAACAAATGGTGAAAGCACCGGACAGAACATAATGTAACAGTAACATAATGAAGTACAACATTATCTTACAAGGACAACAATGTGTTCAACCAGTTTATGACAGGGAAAATTAGCATTTACAATCTTTAATGTGCTGACAAAAACTATCTATGTATGTAACTACCCTGCCAAAAGTCAAGTCTGCAACTGCAGATAAGGAAAATGGCAAGTAGCCAGTTGCCAGAAATAAGTGGTGGTGTTTTATGCGATTAACTGCGTGTGCAACTACTAAGAAATACTGACCCAATTCTGCACAACTCTCCCAGGCCCGAACAAACGCTCGATACATAGCACATTTCTTTGGGTCAGAAGTGATGCCTTGAATCCAGGTGTCACCAACTTCAAAAGTTTGAACAGGCAACGATGGCTTCACAGTCTCCAGAACTTTGACAAAGTTGTCAAAAGTTGAAGCCACGAGCTCAGCTCCTGGATATTCAGCTCGAAGGATTTCATAGTAGCCAAGAACTTCCTGTAAATTCCAACCAATAACATTCTGTTTAAATCTGATTTGATTATATTCAATGTCTGGTGGAATAGGGGGATCATTATCCTCTACAACTGTCTACTTTGTACTTTTCTTGTTTATAGTAACAAATGTCTATTCTACACTTCCAGTTAGACAACTGTATTTTACACTATTAACCAGACAGTTGTATATTTTACAACAATAAACTGTTGTATATTTTACACAAGCATACAAATAAGCAAATGCATATTTTACATATCACACAAACAAACAAGTGCAAACATATAAATTATCACACGCAAACAAAACAATTATAAATTGTACACTAGCACATGAGACAACAATTTTATATTGTGTCATATCACTTCAATACCACAGGAACAAAACAATTGTATACTTTCTGTAATATTACCCAACTATCATACAGATAAATCAATTGTATATTATTACAATATCACTTCAACATCACACAGTATAATTTGCACTATCATATAGATAAATTTGACGAGTTAGTATTTTACCTCTACGGTAACAGGCGGCCCAGTGTTGTCTGTCCTAAATGCAAAACACAAAACTTCCGACAGTCCTGGAGCACTGATGCATTTATCTTTGGCAAGGCCTATAGGCTGAGCAGGGTAGGGTCCAGGGTTCAGTGGATAGCCACCTAACCGCAAGAAATGGTGAAATAAAAGAAACCATTTTAACCTACTGAAATGTAGCAAAAACACAGCAGTAATCTATTTTGATTTCTGTAAAATCATAATAAGCTACTAAAGTTTAATTTAAACGAAAATAGTTTTAAGATGAATGTTTTTCAAGTTACAAGTATAATAATAACTTCCATAATTCAACTAAAATCCCGCAATAATATTAGTAGTGATTTATTCTTCCAGGTTAAGAAATTAAAAACAGATAATGTTCATCTACTCATGGTAAGAAATATTTATCTTTCGAAGCCACATAAAAAAAAAAAGTCATCATTATGTGCCATTTATGGGGGTTATCAGTTATGAGTTATGATTTGGGTTATCTTCACGGCACTCTGGACGTGTCCATAGGTGCTCAGATTCCCCCTTTAACATATACATCAGCGTCCCGAACTTGATAGTCCCATCCTATTTTGGTTGACAAGGCTTCTAGTGCGTCCAGGATGCCTGGCTGTGCCGATCTTTACTTCCAATTCTTGCACTCTTAGCAAAGATGTGGAAGTGCTGCTTCCAAAATCCTCCCAACGTCCTACCTCTCTAATGGCATTAACAATATTGGCATGATCCATGGGCTGGCCCTTTGTAACTAAGGCAGAGCCAACTAATCTGTCAGCTTTTTCATTGCCAACAACGCCTGCATACCCCGATACATATATAAAGATAATTCCATGCACAGTGGAGTTTTGCAATGACTCGATCCACTGTCTGTGTACAAAACCCGCCTCGACCAGCCAGATCATGCTCATGGAATCACTCAGCACACACAGCCCTGCAATGCTAGCCACATGAAAGCTTGTGTTACCGCCATCACCTCCATTGTCATGCTGCTAGTAGTCATACAGAAGGTATCAATGGTCTCCTAGACTGCTCTGATTGCAGAGCACGCAGTAAATGCCCATGAATTTGTTTGTCCTCGCACAATAGACCCATCTGTGTAGATCTGTACATCTGCCCCATCTGAATTTTCACATATGTGGCAACACAGGAAAAGGTGGAGTTGAGCACCTGGGGCACAGGTATCTATTCTTCGCCGACACTGAAGTCTGTAAGACTGCAGACCTGTATGATATCGTCCGCTGCCCTACCAAACCATGATTTGCCCCTTTTTAGCCTGTTGCCCTTTTTCCTAAAGAGAACATTGTGCAGAGGGTGCTTCAAATCTGAGCTTATCTTCATGTATGCACAAGTCCACCAGATCTTAATCCTATGGTGCATTGTTGGGAAGTCAAGAAGATATCTCACTGCTATGCAAGCGGTTTCTCTTGTGCACCACATAATAATGCGCATGGCTTCATTTTGCACCTTTTCCAGTCTTTCAATCTGAGTATCGTTGATGGTGAGTATGGTAAAGCATATTCGACAGGAGAAAGAACCAGTCCCTGAAACAGTAGCAGATTCAGTCTCTGCTCGATGCTGGCCGTGGTCAGGACCCTCATCGCTGATAAGCCTTTATGGTCTTTCGTTATAACATGGTCAACCTGGTCTTTGAAAGACAGACTGCGATCAAACTTCACACCCAAAAATGTGGGTGGGATATCATGATTTGCCAACTCCCATGTTACAGGACTTTTAAAAAATAATTGTGTACCGTAGAAACATAATAGTGGTGCCCCTTACCTTCCACAGATTTGTCTACAGTTTAACTATGCTGGTTTCTGTCTAAATGGATAATCAGAGAGATTAATGGAAGCAGACGATATCTGCAGGAACGAACCTCAAGGGTTTGAAATACTGAAGAAGAAATTAAACATAAAACCTGAATCTAAAAATAATTTCAACCCCCCCCCCCCCCCCTCCCCCAAAAAAAAGACATACACACAAACTAGACACAATTAAAGGTTATTGTCCCCTTGGCTGTCCATGGATCATAAAAAAATAAGCATACCTTTAACCCAAAAAGCCATGATTCCATCTGGATCTGAGGCTTTAAGCTTCCACACAAAAGGAGATGGGACATCTGGTGGGGCCGTTCCAGGGTTGACTCCTACAGATATCGCTTTAACTCCTCGTGCCTGCAGTACTGGAAGCAGAGCTTTTGTCATTCCTGCAGCAAACGGAATATGATAAAGTAAAACCAAGTTGACATGAATGCAAGGGACCAAACAATCAAATATACAACACTGACAGATGTAGTGCTGAAGAAGTAGCAGCAGAAGAAGAAGAAAGGAGAAGGAGAAGCAGGAGAAGAAGAAGAAGACGATATTGATGATTTTAACTGCTAAGGTGAAAGCCAATGTGTGGAAGAAGAAGAAGATGATGCTGATGATGACTTTGCTGTCCATGTGAAAACCATTGTCTGGGGTCCAGCCATAACTGATATGATGGCAGATGAGGACAAATGACAGTCCAAAGACACTAACATGATCAAGCTTACTACAACAAAGAATGCCAATGGCATCAAAGATAAATGCTACAGAAAGCACATTTAACAAGAAAAGATTACCCAGAAGCATTGAAATTTATGATATGATGGCAGATGAGGACAAATGACAGTCCAAAGACACTAACATGATCAAGCTTACTACAACAAAGAATGCCAATGGCATCAAAGATAAATGCTACAGAAAGCACATTTAACAAGAAAAGATTACCCAGAAGCATTGAAATTTATGATACGACAAAACAGAATTATCTACCAAAAAAAAATTTGTAAGATGATGCCAAAGTTAATAAAAACAAAAAATGTGCAAAACAAATATGAGAAATAACACACAATGGTACTTGGTACTTTCTTATTAGCTGACCACAAACAGGGAAAATCCATAGGTCATGGGACAGTCAAATATTTCAGGGGGTGGTAGATTAGGCGTTTGGTTTTGGTTAGTGTCGTGAAATGATAGCCATTACGCATCGGTCTGTAAGGCTGATAACCTGTCTTACCTGTAATCTGCACAAAATTCAAACTTGGACTCGCCCAGAAATATATAGTCCCTTATATCTATATATATAGGCCTGTATTGGACAACATTATTATGTCTGCCTTTTCTGGTTACTTTAACTAAACTCCACTTTTAAATGTATATCTCCTGGAGATATATTTAGGGAGTTATTTGAGGTTTCTTGGAAACCGATTTACTCCTTGCCCCAGTATACAAGGAACTTCTTTTGTACCAACGCCTGAAGTGTCTAAGTGACGCTATTCTCCTTGCCAGCTTCTCAAGCGTCCAGATGTGTTAATCTGTGCCTGCATAACTTTCACTTTTCAAAGCAATCTGGAAATGTCTCAGTTTTTACATATGCTTGGGTAAGTTAATTATAGTTTACGAGTACCTAGAATGATGTCTGTAAAGTAGTCACTGCTGTAGAGAAATCAGTATCGGCTGTGTTATCCCACTTAGTTCGACCGTTCTTGATCGCTAGAGAAGCGGATTCGAACGTAGATCTTCCACTGTACAGACTAAATAGCTTATGCCCTCAATAAACCACCCATGCTATAAAACTTAATACCCTTACAATTATGTACGTTTTAAACTAACTAAAAAATCTGTACATATGAAATGGGGACAGAATTGGGTCAGGGCTTTGTTAATCAAAGTATGTGTGTGCTTGACCCAGATCAATGAGTGCTGGGGCGGTTGGGAAAGCTAGTGAATGCAGGTACTGACAGTAAATATTGGTGTCTGTGTGCAGAGTGAGGGGGAGAGGGAGAGTGATATATGTGTTAGACCACTTTATCTATCTCCACTACATATCTGACTTGCCTTCTCTTGCACTAAACAGACAGATAAATATAGGAGACTTATGTCTTTTGGTCTGGAGAGGCAATCTGAGGAATGAAACAGGAGAGCAGGAGGAAGTCAGCAGATGGGGGTTGATGACTAATGCTTACTCTGTCTTTCCTGTCAAGATGTTACCCTCTTGGTGATGACTAATGTTGAGTTATTTTCTTGACAGGATGTATCTTTTGTGAAGAGCTGGCAGAAGATTCACAGTCCCACCAACATCCACCAACCATCAAACCACCAGAAACAACTTGTTACCCACCAGCTAACACCTGTGAAGGTTCCTGACATCTCCAACATATGGGAGATGGTGCATCAAACAGCTACCAGTGCTAGAGCTTAATGTGGCTCAAAGACATTGTGTGTCCTTACTGGTGATAGAGACTTGTTAAATACCGGTACAGTTGCTACATCCTATATAGTGAAGTACTCTTACTACTTGATCCAGTGGAGCAGAATTCCCAGAGTCAAAGACAGTCGAATCATCCGGAGCTGAGGGAGGCATCATAGACAGAAAGAAGAGAAGATAAGTCTGATGCTTCGCATGATGTTGTGTTCCTCACATGCTCATTGTGTCCAGTGATGAGAAGATGTCATCTCCAAGACCTTCTGTCTGTGTAGTATCTTTATAGTTTGGACATGATATCCGGAGATCTGGCATTTGTCTCACTTTTATATATCTAATTTATATTGATTACATACATTCATTTTCATGGCTGACTTAGGTGTCTCTATTTCACCTTTTTAAGTGTTTAGCAGGTGTGTATGTATGTGTATCTTCATTATATGTGTTAACATGGTTATGATAATGAACTATCATAACCTGGGGGCTTTCTTTAGTAAGTAGTGGGGGTGTCCAGCCAAGTGTGCCTAGAAATATGGTATATATATACTGATATATTTTGTAGTGCCAATACTTGAGTTGCCCTACTCCAGAGATAAGTTGAGCGTATATTGGCCACGGGGAATCCCTTAGACCAATACGAGCCAAACGACTCAACATAATTATCTCTGAGTGCTGTTGGTTCTGAAGGAGGAATCCTTACATTAGGCACGCGACAGGAGTGATATGTGACAGTTAGGTTAGGGTTAGGTTAACAGATGAAAACCTTGGCCTTGGAAGAAACGTGCTAAAGCATAGAAAACATGGAAAACCCACTCCTACCACCCTCTAAAATACTGGTCTGTCCCGTGACATCATTTGTGGTCGGCTTGAAAGAAAGCACACAATGCTCTCTTACGTTAAACAATTCAAATCCTAAAACTGACCTGGCACGTCTCTCTGGCTCATGGTTGCATGAGTTCTTGTAATTTCAAACATCTTATCCAACTTTTGGCTCAACTCAACACCAAAATTAAACAACCTAGCCCCAAGATTATCAGTTTGAATGTTGAATGGAAATGCATGCCATGCAATGTGACCTTCATACACAGCCTTAATGAAATCGGTTTGCTCCGTTCTGTTTGGACACTTGGAGGAAAACAAATTAAAATGGAATGTAAAACATCTTCATAATATTCTTGAATTACCATCATTACTATGGCTATAGTCACCACTATAATCATGCTCCTCATTATAACCCCCCCCCCCCCCCCCCCCATAACTTCATCAGTCCCTAGTGTATTGTATCATACCTTCATAATAATAATTTGTATTTATGTATCTTAAACAAATGAATCCCCAAAACACACCTCTAACTCTTTTGGCACCAAGCAACTCACTATGCTGGAGTTATCTAAGATTCTGTGCCTTTCTGAGCACCATGAAACATACTAATTATAGCTTCACCTTATTCTGCCATAATTGTTTCTTTAGTTCCCTTTGTCCCATAGTGTAGTTATTTGACCATTTTCAGGTTTATAAACTATTACTTTCAGCAAACCCTGCATAGGAAGTTGAGAGTTAAAGAAATACTCTTGTGGGAATGAAAGAGATACTAAAAGTAGTTACTGATTTAAGAATCAACATCATAACATACCAGACAATATTACAAATTGAAAACCAATTAAAAGTATCTAGATATTATGCCTTGAATGTTAAACATTGAATAAGAATCTTGGGACACCCCCATAAGTGCTCTGTCCCCATCTCCAGCAGCAAGCAAAGAGTTCCAACTCCGATGGCACCAGTAACTGTCTGATTGTATATCTGTCTCGCCTTTTCCCTGAGTGTTGAGCACTGGCCAGATCCCCTTGTAACCCCTCGCAGCGCCATCTCCCCAGACCGTAGTGATCTACTGCTGCCTCCTCACAGTTCAATCACTAGAGATGGGCCCTCACAACATCCAGCCTGTCATAGCTCTAAAAACTTGGATATTTAAAAAGTACAGGATTCTTCTCTCTTTTAGCCCACGGGGCATCTGGTTCTATGCCATTTTCATAGACCATTCTACATCCGATAAGTGTTGTGGTCAACATCATTCTGGGTGTCTTTACTTCCCAGGATATTTCCTAGTAGATATTTTGGGATGGATCAACCTGGGAGACAAGGTTGATTTTCAAAGTCACAAATCCATCTCAATGCAGATACAAAGTCACAAATCTATCTCAATGCAGATTCAAAGTCACAAATCAATCTCAATGCAGATTCAAAGTCACAAATCCATCTCAGTGCAGATACAAAGTCACAAATCAATCTCAGTGCAGATACAAAGTCACAAATCCATCTCAATGCAGATTCAAAGTCACAAATCCATCTCAATGCAGATTCAAAGTCACAAATCAATCTCAGTGCAGATTCAAAGTCACAAATCTATCTCAATGCAGATTCAAAGTCACAAATCAATCTCAATGCAGATTCAAAGTCACAAATCCATCTCAGTGCAGATACAAAGTCACAAATCAATCTCAGTGCAGATACAAAGTCACAAATCCATCTCAATGCAGATTCAAAGTCACAAATCCATCTCAATGCAGATTCAAAGTCACAAATCCATCTCAATGCAGATTCAAAGTCACAAATCAATCTCAGTGCAGATTCAAAGTCACAAATCCATCTCAGTGCAGATACAAAGTCACAAATCCATCTCAGTGCAGATACAAAGTCACAAATCCATCTCAATGCAGATACAAAGTCACAAATCCATCTCAGTGCAGATACAAAGTCACAAATCCATCTCAGTGCAGATACAAAGTCACAAATCCATCTCAATGCAGATACAAAGTCACAAATCCATCTCAGTGCAGATACAAAGTCACAAATCCATCTCAATGCAGATACAAAGTCACAAATCCATGTCAGTGCAGATACAAAGTCACAAATCCATCTCAATGCAGATACAAAGTCACAAATCCATCTCAATGCAGATACAAAGTCACAAATCCATGTCAGTGCAGATACAAAGTCACAAATCCATCTCAATGAAGATACAAAGTCACAAATCCATCTCAATGCAGATACAAAGTCACAAATCCATCTCAATGCAGATACAAAGTCACAAATCCATCTCAGTGCAGATACAAAGTCACAAATCCATCTCAGTGCAGATACAAAGTCACAAATCCATCTCAATGCAGATACAAAGTCACAAATCCATCTCAATGCAGATTCAAAGTCACAAATCCATCTCAGTGCAGATACAAAGTCACAAATCCATCTCAATGCAGATACAAAGTCACAAATCCATGTCAGTGCAGATACAAAGTCACAAATCCATCTCAATGCAGATACAAAGTCACAAATCCATCTCAATGCAGATACAAAGTCACAAATCCATCTCAATGCAGATACAAAGTCACAAATCCATCTCAGCGCAGATACAAAGTCACAAATCCATCTCAGTGCAGATACAAAGTCACAAATCCATCTCAATGCAGATACAAAGTCACAAATCCATCTCAATGCAGATACAAAGTCACAAATCCATCTCAATGCAGATTCAAAGCCACAAATCCATGTCAGTGCAGATACAAAGTCACAAATCCATCTCAATGCAGATTCAAAGCCACAAATCCATGTCAGTGCAGATTCAAAGCCAAGACCTTCACAATGGTAGGCAAGCATCTGGAGCAGTGGTTTTCAACCTGTTTCAACCCCCCCCCCCCCTTCCCTGCCCCCGGTGTTGAAAACCAAGGTCTAGGGTACGAAATAACTCATAGAATAATCGCAGCAACATGGCTCCCAAAAACAACACTACTTATTTGTTTATAGACGTGATTTTATGGGAAAATGTTGAAAACCGGGACAGCCCAGCTGTGACAACCAGAACTTGTTATGATAACTGGAAAAATTTATTGAGACAGAGGTAAGAGAAGGCAATAAGAGAAGATTATTGACAGTTTCTGTCATGGCTAAGAAAGGTGTGAGTACAGGAACTGATATATATACTGTCAGAGATAGCAAGATGTGGAAAAGCATAATAACCCATGCCAGTCTTAAGATACTTGACAGTGCTTTTAAAATAAATATAATTTTGCAAAATAACTTTGAAATTACTAACTCTAAAACTGTAACTGCAAACAACAACTTAACAGATAGAAAACAGAAAGAAAGCATGATCCATTAGCATAGAGAAATTTGCATTAAAATTTAATAAATACATAGCTTTTATCTACCTTTAGAGGTGTGCTCAAAAATGTGATGTTCGGACAATCCAAATAGAGAGAGACTAACCAGGGATGAGTGGTGTAAATAAACCTCTCTACATATCCCAAGTTAATGAGGGTACGAGACATATTGATGGCTCTAACAAAGTATTCAGTCTGATATCTGTTGAGAACCTGTACAGAGAACCCAACGTCCTTATCAAGACCATCATAGTAACCCACATCTGTGAGGAAAAAAAAACATACCATAAATTATTTGTACCCTTTTGCAGAACTAATTACTAGAAAATATTGTCATTTAATACAGTGGCCAACATCTGTGTATAAAACGAATAAGACAGATATAAATTTTCTTGTGTTCAAGCAGTATGGCATTGGTAGCCATTTCTCTCCATTGTTTTCAGTCTTGTGTACTTTCAACCATTTCTGACACGGATGATATTTGATGCCATAATGTCAAACTGCCCAGCATCTTCTCTCCTAATCTTCCTTTGCTTCTCTTTCTCTCCAAACCTTCCTGTTTCCATGACAGTCCAGCCTTCTCCTCCTCATGATGTGTAAAAGAATTCAGATTGTCTTCCTCTTGTGAGTAATCAGTTTTCTTTGTGAGAGTTTACATAACACAGACACAAACAATACTGATGAGGTGTGAAGAGATGGAACTATTACTCAATAACTAGGCACTGCGCTTTATGTATTCAAGTGAAAATGTTCATGTTTGTTCTTAATTATATGTTAATGTAGCTATGTAATATTACACAGCATGATCAGATAGGTGATATATGCTAGGCAATAAAATTGTGATGTATTGTTTGTGTCTTCATCATTTAAATTGTTAATGAGCATCTTCTTACCCAAATGATTCATGAATACAATGTGAACCTTTGTGACCTGCGCTGCCTTCTCTTCAGAATCAACACTCATATGGACCACCTGCAATAGAAAGTTGCATAATGCATTAGAACCCGATTACAAGCAGATGTTTTCAAATGCTTGAGATAATATTAGCATTTCATCACATGGAACCATACTTCAGGTTGTAAATAATTATGCTTGTACAGAAGCCCTTTAACAAGGATGAACTAACTGGGTGTATCTTACCTCCCCTGTTATTCTGCATTACAACTGAAAGTATGATAGAAATAATGTTGCGGAAGAAATACCAGCACCAAATGGATCATCTCATTCTGCAAAAGATACTTTTCTGCTAAGTAAGAACTACAACGACATGCCCAAAACAAAAACAGATGATTTAGCAAATATAGTATCAAACTTCAGAGTGAAATCAGTTGTGAAAAGACAAATTCTCTAAAGACATCAATAGCAGATTTTTAAAATATGCACAAAATATGGAATATAGTTTTAAATCAAGTAGGGTATTTTCAATTACAAAATAATTTTAATTTTAACGAGTGATATCTTTTATAAAAATAAAATGTTTTTAATATTTGCCTGTAAAAGTTGGAGAACCACTTAAGTTAAATACATTTAAAAACAAATGCCTTAGGAAATTGATCAAAATTAAATGAGATGAACTCAAGAAAGATGAAGAAACAAGAGAAATGTCTCGACAACCACCACTATCAATAATTATAAGACAAAGAAGAAAAGGATACACTGAGTACATCAGCAAACAGAGGATCATAAAACAGACACTAAATGGGAAATAAATTGATGGAGAAATGAGACATCCAAGAGAAATCCTAAGATAACTCTCAATGAGAGATACCAAAGGTGCTGAACTCCATTCCATCCATGATATTGAAAGGACTGCAA